AACATATTATTCAGAAGTTTATGGTCCAGGGGACTATAGACAACCTCTATGGATGTGGAAAATTGATGACAAAAAATCTGTTAGCTTGTGTTGCTTTAGTTTATCTCTACTTCTCCCACACGCTGCATCAACGTAGTCTGAAGACTTCCTCCACCGCTGCCAGTGAGCAACGCACTTTCAAAATAATGTAACAGACTGTCTCACCCAGCCGAGGAAACTCTGGACACGGAGCAGGCAGGTCCACATGGTCCCCTGCTGGCCGACCGTCTGCTGAACAGCCCTGAGCTGGGCTTCATGGGTCTTCATCTCCAACCCACATCCTGTACTTGAACCAGCGGCGCTTTTCTTTCTGAAGTGCCGCGGAGTTGGCCTGCTAGCTAAACTGAGACAGCTAAGCTAAGCTAAGAAAGTGCACACTCACAGTCGCCGAAGTGTAAACTAGTCGTAGCGGTCCGTAGTCGGTGCATAAGAAACACCGCTGCTGTTAGGGCCATAACTTCTGGACACAGGGAGAAATCCCCCCTCTCAGCCATGTGCTCTCAATCGCCTCCAAAACACAACAGCAGGTTTAGAAGAAGAAGAAGAATAGAAATATACTTTATTCATCCCTAAGGGGAAATTTGTCTGTGGCAGCAGCAAACAAGTTTACACAATAAAATAAAAATATTAAGTGTGAAAATGCACAAAATATACAATATAATAAGTCAAAATCAAATGGATTTATTATCCAAGAAGCATAAAAACAGATACAAACAGTTACAAACCGAATCACACAATTATAACAAAACAAACATAAAATGAAATGTGAGATCCAATACGAGCCACCCCAGGAGGCTGGTATGCCTCCTCGGTGGCCAGCAGAAGATCTGAAAACCCCCAGCTTCAAACCCCTTGCAGTGTTGCCAACTCCTCAGTAAGGAAAGTAGCTATTGGCTGTGCTAGAAGTCGCTAAATGACGTCATCGCCTAATTTGCATAATTGTAATGAGCGCTGTAGGAGAGAGGCGGGAACAGCGGCGGCTTTGCGCATGCGCGATTCATTTGCAGTCTGGACACGGAGAGCGTGGGTCTCCTCTTTCTGCAGCTGGGACTGCTGCGCGAGGGGCTTTCACGTCAGAGTCAAAACACCAGAAAAGTCTCAGACAACGGCAGAAAAAGTAGCTAGCTTTGTCGCTAGTAGCTTTTGACAAAAAAAGTCGCCATGAGGGTTTGGAAAGTCACCAGATTTAGCGAGAAAGTCGCCAAGTTGGCAACACTGACCCCTTGTCCCCTCAAAGTTTCATCTCTCAGCTCATTGATTGGCTGAAGTCCAACAAGCCCCTCCTTGGCCCTTGACCTATTGTTCTGATTTTAACACCTCATATGAGGGGCACTCATAAGGTAATAAGCGGAGTCAGGAGACCAGACATCTCGTTCAGCCCACGGCTTCTCTCTTTATTTCTGCCCCCCACCCCCCTCGATGAGAAGCAGAAGTCGCCTTTTCTCTACGGCAACCCTGAAGGGACACATCATCTCCAATACAACACGATAAACATGAGACGCGCGATAAAATAATTGTCGGCATTAATTAATTAATGCGTTAACGCGATAATAACGCGTTAACTTGCCCAGCACTAATATATATATATTACATTCAATGATGAACTGTAATATATATATATATATATATATATATATTACAGTGATGCAGAAGCGTTATCACACAGTAGACCTTTTCGTCCTCGTGTCCCGAGGAGTCCATCGTCTTCTCAGGTGTTCTTTGTTCCTGTCTGTGTTTGTAGAACCTCTGCATTGAGAACACCTGCATCGCTGCTCACGATAAGACGGGACGCTACGCCACCATGTTCACGGTGGACAAAGTGCTCACGCCACCGATGGGAACCGTCATGGACGTCCTGAAGGCAGACGACCGCTTCAGGTGAGTCAGCTTGTATTTACTCAGAGGTGAAGCTCGATGGGACAGCAGTACACAGCATTGCACAGCAGTACACAGCAGTGGATGTTTCCCAGCAGACCTCTGTGGTTTGTTAGAATATTTAAACTCCCGTTATGATTTATTTTAAGGTGATGTCATAAATCAGCGAGCTGTCGTTAGACAACGACTTGAGTCTCTGAAGTTTATGTGAACGCGCTCATTAATCTGAACACGTTGACATGTGGAGTGTAAAGTGTTGATACTGGAGAGACTCACAGACCGGCTCGTACAGGACTAACAGTTCTGCTCCTACTCAGCTCTCAGACCTCATACTCGGGTTTCAGAGACCTCATGTGACCCGGGTAGCAGGTCTCAGACCTGCTAACCGGGTCACATGATCTTGGTTTAGATCAGAGGAAGTGATGTCATGTTGTAGACGTGGTGAGACCTCCTTCCTGTTTCAGCCTCCTGGTCGGAGCCGTCCAGACCGCCGGTATGACGGAGCTGCTGAACCAGCAGGGGGCGCTGACCTTCTTCGCTCCCACCAACGACGCCTTCAACGTTCTCCCTCAGCCCGATCTCAACAGGCTGATGCGTGAGTGATGATGAATGATGAATACTGAGGTTCCATGAAGGGGTCGTGTTTATGAAAGTGTTCGGCTCCTTCTTTGGTTTGAGCATTCAGAAGCGTTTCTGTTGATGTGACTCACGGTGGAGTCATGTCTCTGATCAGGTTTATATAATATAAATACAAACCGTCTGTGCAGCTTCACTCTATAAATATTAAAGACATAGGAATGAACTTCATCACAGTCTGCTGTTGACAACGTCTAAAGAAAAGTTCCTCTATAACCTGACGGGCTCGTTAAAGACCTTCTAATTAAAAGCTGTGAAATGTGATCACAGCTGGTTTTTTACTGTGCAGCTCTTCCTTTAAAAATTCTTATAATATTGTTCAGATTTTTTATTGTCAATTTTTCTAATCTATATTTATGTTTCTTTACTGTTTACAGTACTTTTATTTGTAGTTTTTATCTTTCTATGTTTATTGTTATGATCAAAACACCAAATAATAATTCTGATTATAAATCATGTTGACATTTAAATATATGTGAATAATATATAATTATATAAGTAATATAATACTGAAATACCTAAATTCTTATTTTTTCACAAAAATTCAGTTTGAAAGATTTATTGACTAATATTGAAAATGTTTTTAAAATGTAATGAGTTCATTTCCATGTTGCTCAGATGTCAAAGTTCAGGATGAAAAACAAGAGATCAATGAACAGACCTCCAGTCCGTTTCATTGTTACCTGTGTGTCTGTATCCAGGTAACCCTCAGGAGCTGTCGGCTGTGCTCCGGTATCACCTGGGGGAGGGCATGCTGGTCAGTGGAGGAGTGGAAGGATCTCACACCAGAGTCAAACCTCTGCAGGGAGAGAAACTGGAGCTGGGCGTGGTCAGTCGTCTCTCCTCACTCCTCACTCATCACTCACTCTGATTATTGATCGCCTATCGGAGCCAATAACAGATGCTCTCTCCTCTGTGTGTTACAGCGTAACTACACAGTGTACGTCAACAAGGTCCCGGTCGCTGACGCAGACCTGATGGCGACTAACGGAATCGTCCACGCCGTCAACAGTATCATCAAACCTCTGCGTGAGTCCAGCTGGATCCTTTACATCGTCTGCATAGAGTCTCACATCGTCTGCATAGAGTCTCACATCGTCTGCATAGAGTCGCACATCATCTGCATAGAGTCTCACATTGTCTGCGTAGTCTCACATCGTCTGCATAGAGTCTCACATCGTCTGCATAGAGTCTCACATCGTCTGCATAGAGTCTCACATCGTCTGCATAGAGTCTCACATCGTCTGCATAGAGCAGGGGTATTCAATTAAAACTCCAAAAGGTCCAGATTGAGAAAATCTCCTCGTGCAAAGGTCCGGAACATTACAATAATATCTAACTTGATTCATGTTTGGTCTCGTGGTGGCGTTTTACATTGGCGCATTGAATAATGGCCACGGCATCTGAACACATGAGACAGAGAGGTTTAGTAGCGCCAGCAGGAAGAATGAACAAATAAGAGTCTGTCCATTCTTTGTTAAAGCTCTGTTTTCGTGGTCCACTCTTCTCTTTTTAGAGCACGCCATGTTAAACTGCTTCTCTGACTTACTTTTCCCGCTGCTCTCTATCTCCCCATCTCTCCCGTGTCTGGGTGCAAATCTCACTCGACTCAAGATGCGTTTCAGAATACACATATTCCATTGGCTGAGTAGCGCCACGTGAGATGATTTACAATGTATGTGATTGGTCGGTGTGTTTCCTGGACTGCTGACCGATTGCCGTAAAGGCTAGAAAAGCTGTGCAGGTTAAAATAGAAGCGCTCCGCCAAAATGTATAATTCTCAATTATCCATCAGTTATACGTCCGGGTCCGGATAGGACAGCGTCTGGGTCCGGACCCGGACCGCGGCCCGCCTATTAGTGACCCCTGGCATAGAGTCTCAGCTCGTCTGCATAGAGTCTCAGCTTGTTTGTCTTTGTGTCTCTGCAGCTCCGAAGGTGGACAGAGAACAGGCCGATGGACCTGCAGCTGCCTTCAGACCGGCGGCTTCCTCCGTGGTGAGAACACGCTGATGAAGAAGGTTGTTTCTGCTGATCAGAGATGCTTACTGGTTTAAACTCTAACTCTGTCTACTTCAGCTGAGTCACATGACCTGTGTCACTCTTTCAACATGAAAAAACTTTTTATTATGAAAATACATTTTAATATAATAAGATCTGCATCATTTGATTTTGACGTCTAATTCTAGTACATTAATAATAACAACAATGATAATGATGACAGTAATATTTCTGCTGCCCTCCTCTCTGTCTCACAGGTGGACTCCAAGAGCTTCAGGAACGGTGAGTTTCTTCTTCTTCTTTGAGTCTGAGCATCATCAGAACCTGTCGAGTCTCTAACTGTCGCTTTATGTTTCTGTCCTCAGACGAAATGTTCCAGAAGGTCGTCCGCAGTCGCTCCAGCAGGACGATGACCCAGTAGAACCCAGAAGAACATCTGAGGAACCAAAGAACACAAATGGTTCTGGTCTTGAAGAAAAAATCCCCCTGAAGTCTTTTAACATCTGAAACAGAAACGACTTCAAACCGCTTCTATAATAACAGTTATTAACGTCCAGCTGAGCGCTTCATGTTTCAGTGTTTTCTGAAGGATTCCACAACTTCTAAACAAAAGGAAACCTCGTGATGAATGAGCCTCATTTAATAATCTTATTCACAAAGATCAGCGCTGATACGGTAGCTATTGATTGTTTTGTCCCATTATTAGTTTTATTATTATTATTTTGTCTTCAGTAAAGAGACCTAGCAGTTCAACCAGTTATTAGGACCAGTGTGAATGTGTATCAGTGATCAACATATGTTTGAGGATCTCAGGGGGATTTTTATTCACTTTGTGGAGAAAGAAGAAGAAATAATGTTGTTTTTTATTATAATTTTTACCGACTGTTTTGTTTTCTTTGTACTGTAAAAATGTCACTTCTGAAATCCAAAGTTTGAACTTTCACATGTAAAACTTTTGTAAAGTGTGTTTTTCTAGTTGTGTACTCTGCGTGTTGTCGTCCTACAGCATGTCAGCAGGTCTGAGCTCAAACTAACAAACAAACCTGTTGGATTCATGGAGCTTTTTAGGATGTTTTTTGTAAAATAAAACCGGAAAATGAGCTCTAGAAAAGTTGTGTGTGTGTGTGTGTGTGTGTGTGTGTGTGTGTGTGTGTGTGTGTCCCCTGCGTGCTTCCTCTCACTGGCCCTGAAGGCGGATCAGAGTTCTGAAACATTAACGTGGTCCAGGTGAGATCAACAGAACTTCTTGTTAACAGACTTTAATGTGAAGCAGTGAACGTCTCACTGAGAGAACCTTCAGTTTCCTGCAGAGGGAAAAACACAGAATGTAAGAAAGTAAAAGAACAACAACTATGAATGATGAACGTGTTCAGGAGACACTGAACATGTCTCCATATTTAAAGGACATATGAAATATGGACGTATTGTAGCAAACAGTTGGTCACTGAGACCTTTACTTTGAAACCTTTCAGGTCTCAGGTGGAGCTCATTTCAGAAAACAGAAACAGAAGATTTAAATGTTGAAATGTTCATGTTGAATCTAGAATATGAAGTTAGTCACAGTGAAGACTTTCTTTCTAAAGTGATGAAGCTGCAGAAATATGAGCGTCTACTTTGAAGTAACTTCATCTTAAATCAACACGTTCAATTTATTAAATCAACTCATTCTGAGTTCCTGTCGGTCTCACAGTTTTATTTTCTCCTTCAGTTAGTATATTTATATATATTTATATTTATATAATGTAGAACAAGAAATCCAGACCAGCTGCTGCAGGACGTTAGTCTGACATACACACACACACATATATATACACACACATATATATAAACATGTAAACATCGAACAAAAAGTTTGGAAATTAGTGTTTAGTAGATTATTTCTCTGTTGTAACAATGCTTCTTGGCAATAAATGTTATACCGTTGGAAAGCCTGTTTATTTACCTTTCAAACGGTGCCCCATTTGTAAGGATCATGCATTTCTGGGATGAGCAGCACAGCTGAGTATGTGGGTTGCGCCCATGAAAAATCTGCCAAATCTTCTCTGCCAAACAGCTTATTCTGCTGTTGCTATTGACTCTTGTTTGGTGTTGTTTGGTGGATTGGATGATTGAAGTCTATCAGTTACAAGGAAGAAACAAGACATATTGGCAATTTTACAATTTATTCATTTAAACAGGAGCCTCAGTAGCGTGTGGAAGAACCATACACAGCCACAACAGCCTGGCTCCTCCTCCTCATGCTGGTCACCAGCCTGGCTCCTCCTCCTCATGCTGGTCACCAGCCTGGCACCTCCTCCTCATGCTGGTCACCAGCCTGGCTCCTCCTCCTCATGCTGGTCACCAGCCTGCTCACACACTGCTGTGGGATGGCATTCCACTCCTCAAGCAGGATTTGTCGCAAGTCAGCCAACGTGGTTGTGTTGGTCACTCTGGCACGAACAGCTGGTCCCACAAGTATTCAATTGGGTTGAGGTCAGGACTGCTGGCAGGCCATTCCATCCTCTCTACTCCCACATTCTGGAGGTAGTCTCTGATAAACCGCTCTGTGGGGGCAAGCGTTGTCATCTTAGAGCAGGGGTGTCAAACTCATCTTCACTCTGGGCCACATCAGCATCATGTTTCCCTCAAAGGGCCGGTTGTAAATGTAAAACTGTGTAAATGTAACTTATCCTAACATATTGATAAATAACTCTCTGCATTTGATTATTGTTTATTCAAGTGTAAAAATATTGTACATGCAGTTATATAAATGTAAAAATATATTTAAGCACATTTCTGTTATTATAACTTAAATCCTTTTAATTTAGGGTTAAGAAACCCACATTACTCTATCAAAGATCAAACTATTAAAGAAAATAGCAAAGACAAATATCAAACACAAGTTATTACAATAACTTTGGTCAAAGCTTAAAATCCTTTCAAGGGTACGTTTGCACAATCCCACGTGAAGTATACCATGTGTTTTAAAGTCATGTTTAAAGTCTTCAATGTACTCACAATACATTTACATTTCAAATGTAACTAACCAGCCAAAGAGCTGCTTCTATGACTATTGTGTTTAAGTATCTCATAATTATGACTTTCTATCTCATAACGTCGACTTTCTATCTCATAATTTTCGACTATGGGGATATTTTTATTATCAAGTCTAACTTTAAATTATTATAAATTTATTTATTTTTTAAATATCTGGTGAAATGACGTGGCGGGCCGGATCCTTATGTTTGACACCCCTGTCTTAGAGGATGGAGTTCGGTCCCAGACTGTGGAGAAATGGGATTGCCACTGGTTGCAGAATCTCATCTCGATATCTCTCTGCATTGAGATTGCCTCCAATGAAGACAAGCCTCGTTTTTCCAGTGATGGAGATGCTGCCCCACACCATCACACTGCCTCCACCAAAAGGTGTTACTCTATCGGTGCAGCAATCAGCATAGCGTTCTCCCCGTCTTCTCCACACTTTGACCCTACAATCCAACTTCCTTAGACAGAATCTGGACTCATCGCTGAACATAACGTTCCTCCACATGTTCAGGTTCCAGTGCAGGTGTTGCCGACACCAGCGCAAACGGGCCTGACGGTCAATAGCAACAGCAGAATATGCTGTTTGGCAGAGAAGATTTGGCAAATTTTTCATGTGTGCAACCCACATACTCAGCTGTGCTGCTCATCCCACAAATGCATGTTCCTTACAAATGGGGCGCCGTTTAAAAGGTAAATAAACAGGATTTCCAACCGTATAAAATTTATTGCCAAGAAGCATAGAGAAATAATCAACCAAACACCAATTTCTGAACTTTTTGTTCAATGTTTATATAAATGTGCGTGTATATATAAACACATACACGCACACACATATATGAAATTAACTCCTGCAAAGGTACACCAATAAAAACAAATCTGGTTACATTTAAGTTACAATATACAGTATATAAATCATTATATGCAGATTTATTTTGAAATAAATTAAAAATTATAATTATAACTATAATTATTATTATTTAACATTCAAAATGAAGCACAATAAATACAATAAATATGAAAAAACAAAAAGACAAAAAGATGTTTTTCTTTATTTTAAATATGTTTGTATTTTATAATAACTATTTATTTCATGACTCTTTTAGTAAACTGATATTTGTGAAGTTGACATGTTGCTCTGATCTGAATTGAATTAGTAAAGTAAAGATATTATGGTCTTAATCATTAGAAACATGTTTTCCCGCCTTCTGTCCCGCAGAGGGCGCTGGAGGCTGAGCTTCCTGCTTCCGGTGTGTCACATTAAAATCAGTCCGTCAGACAGCAACAACAACACATGTGAAGAGACGCGATGTTGTCCACGTTAAAAGAGAGAACCGGGGAGGTTCTGTTACCGGGAGACGAGTTCTCCTTTGAGACCGACGACAGCATCTCTCTAACGGGCCCTGTTAGACCGGAGAAGGTGGTGTGTGGACCGGGTCTGAGGCGGAGCGGAGACCGGGTGCTGGTGTGTAAAAGCGGCGTCCTGCGACACAAACAGCCCCACATGTTCTGGATGGACTCGCAGCAGAGGAGGGTGAGACTTTAGAGAGTCCGTTCATACACCGGCATGAGGCTCAGTATCTGTTGAGCGACTCGTCTGCATGCAGCAGGAGCGTCCACAACATCCGGGACTCCGTCTGGAAATCTCGCAATTTAAGGTTTTTCCTCGTCAGCACACGTGAACGCGTCATATGACCGGATGTTTGGACTGAATTTAAATCATTACGGGTCGGACGTGATTTCGGCTCAAAGATATTTGTTCTGAAGCTGCGCGTTGGGTCGTTAAAGTTCATCTCTATGAACCGGGCCCGCTGTTATGACGTCTCTCCGTCCGCCGGAGCGCGCCGTGCTTCACAGCAGCGAGCAGCGGGAACCGGTTCTAAAAGGTTCTGTTTAATAATAATGAAACAGAAACGAGGAACCAGTTCTACGCCGAACTTCTCAGGAGACCAAACCCATTAATGAGAGCTGTTAAAGTTAGTTCTGAACGTTCAGTACGGTCAAATAAAACGTGTCAGATTTACAATAGTTGTATATTTAAATGGAGTTCAGCGTTCCCCGATAGAAGTCTGTAGTAAAGTGTGACACTGGTACTGGAGCAGTGCATCATGGGAGCTGAGTCTGTCCCTCTGTGTCCTCAGTATGTCCCCGCTAAAGGTGAGACCATCATCGGCATCGTGACGGTCAAATCAGGAGACGTCTTCAAGGTGGACTTTGGAGGAAGTGAGCAGGCGTCTCTGTCCTACCTGGCTTTTGAGGGATCCACCAAGAGGAACCGACCCAACGTCCAGGTGAGACCCCAAGAGGACCAGGTGAGACCGAGGGGGTCACACCTGTTACCTGTACAGGTGGGTGACCTGGTGTTAGCCCTTCCCTCCCTACGTGTTTAACTCCTCCCCCTGTGTGTTACCTGTACAGGTGGGTGACCTGGTGTTCTCCCAGTTCCTCATAGCCAATAAGGACATGGAGCCGGAGTTGGTGTGTGTGGACAGTTCAGGACGAGCCAATGGGATGGGAGTGTTTGGAGGAGGAGGTCTGGTCTTCACGGTCTCTCTGGGACTCGTCAGAAGGTAAACGTCCTCAGATGTTTGTGTAGAAATGCTGTCCTGAGACTCCAGGATCACCTGGTCTACTGCTGACTCCCCACAGTGAGGTCCTGTCTCACCCGGTCTACTCCCCCCCCCCAGACTGCTGACCCCCCACAGTGAGGTCCTGGCTGACCTGCAGCAGCTGTTTCCCTGTGAGCTGGTGGTCGGGATCAACGGTCGTCTGTGGGTGAAGTCCTCCAGCGTTCAGCAGACGCTCGTCATCTCCAACCTGCTCCAGAGCTGCGACGCCATGACGGCCCAGCAGAGACGCCAGCTTTTCAGGAGGGTGGCACAGGGGCCGCTGTAGACCGCATCGGACCACCTGCTGCACCTGTAGATAAACCTGAACAGGCTGTAGACCGCATCGGACCACCTGCTGCACTTGTAGATAAACCTGAACCGGCAGTAGACCGCATCGGAACTCAGGTACCTGGTTCCACTGAGGACAGCTTGTGTTCAGGTTCTGGTCTCGTAGACTTTGACTTTTCTCTCAGTAAATTAAACTTCAAACCTCTCAGCTGGTTCACTTTCATCAGAGGAGATGAAGATGAGTGTTCTTTCTTCATATTAAAGGAACATTCCACAGTTTAACAAACGTTTGTATGAATCTTTTGTTCTGGTTTCTGTTGTTCCCATGTTTAAAGATGCTCCACTACGTCGTTGGTTATTATAGATTATTGATCAATGACTGATGTCAGTCGATCGATTGTTGAAACGGAATTCATTTCATAATTAAAATGTTTTGTTTTTTTCAACTTTAAATCTTCAGACCGGACGATGAAAAATAATACGTTTTTTTCCATAAACATTTATTTCAAATAGATTAAGAAAAAATAGATATTTTTTTTACAACTTTTTTCTTTATATTACTTTTTATACTTCATGTGCATTTAGAAAAAAAACAAACAAACCTCACAAAGGATGCTGGGAAAAAACACTCAAAACAAACAGACCAGACCGGATCTAACCTCTACATGTGAACAGTGTTTTATAAAATAGAAGTGCAAATAAAAAAATCTGATTTGAAACCAGTTTGTTCTGAAGAAAAAATAAATAAAAACACTCTCAGCTGATTACATTCAGAGAAACGGCCAGACGGGTGGAGGACAGTCAGACAGACAGGTGGAGGACTTTAGTAACTAACAAACACATCTCGTCTTGAACACATCGCAGTGACATCAGAAATTCGTCAGCTGAAAATACGTCAGAATATCTTGTTGATGATGTCACAGAGAAGGGGCCGGAGCCAGGAAGGGTCACATGACGTGTTTCTGGATACCCGGGGTGAACTCTTTGGCGTTTGGGTTCAGACTGCTGTTCATCTGGAGGAGAAGTAGTATTATTAATATTACTACTACAGGTGATTCAGTGAACGTCACACTGTGTCCTCCTTAGTTTCCTCGGACCCTGAACTCACCACGAGGTCTCTGACCTGCAGCTGAGGGAGGTCTCTGGATGGGATGAACCACTCCCACTGCTCCTCCTCCTCCAGCATCTCCTGGAAGCAACGCTCCATGAACTCCTCCTCCCACAGCTCCTCCTCCACCTGACACACACACAACATGTTAGTCATGTAAACAACATGTAAACATGTTAGTCATGTAAACAACACGTAAACATGTTAGTCATGTATGTAAACATCATGTAAACATGTTAGTCGTGTAAACATCATGTAAACATGTAAACATGTTGGTCGTGTAAACATCACATGATGTAAACATGTTGGTTGTGTAAACATCACATGATGTAAACATCATGGTCATGTAAACATCATGTTAGTCCTCTGAGGAGACATAGAGAGATATGTTAGTCCTCTGAGGACACACAGACACATGTTTGTCCTGTGAGGACACAGAGACATGTTAGTCCTCTGAGGACACATAGAGACACGTTAGTCCTCTGAGGACACATAGACACGCGAGTTCTCTGAGGACACATAGAGACACCAGGTCGGTCCCACCTGCTGGTTGAACTCCTCCTCGTTCTCCATCCACATGTACTCAGCGAACGGGTCCTGGTCGGAGATGAACTGTCCGCTCAAAACCACCTCGGTGTTGATCGTCATGCTGAGTCTCGGGTCTCTCATGTCCCCGTTCTGACGGTCCGACCTGAGACACAAAGACACAAGGACACGGTGAGCTGCAGCTGGTCCGGTCTGTCAGGCTCTCTGTGATGGCCGCTGACAGACGGACGACCGTGAACGCACCACAACAAGAGGGTTACGAGGACAGAAGACACGAAGACAAACATGCAGAGCCTTCATATTAATGTTATTATATCAATATATATATATATATATATATATGTATATATATATCAATATATATATATATTATTACACTAACAGGAGCTGGTCTAACCTCACAAACCCGGTTCCTCCTTACAACAACTCTTCTCTGTAATGGCCGCGCTGCTTCTTGTTTGTTTACATAGGTGACGTCACGCCTTTTTCGCTCTGTGATTGGACGAACCGCTCTGCTGCCTTCACGTGCTCACACGCACTGGAGAATCGGAATGTAGAGCTCTTTTACCATTCATATATATATATAAAGTATATACATATATATTCATATATATATATTTATTTATTTAATATTTATTTATTACAAACACACAGACTTTGACATTTAAATTAACATTTTAAAACCTTCTTCCAGATGTTTTAAATCTTTTGACATTTAGTAAAAACATCTGTAATAATAGTTTGACAGGAGTTACGTCATGTAACACACATTCTGTGAGGTCAATTGTTGTCTAAATATTAATTTAATATAACCTCTATATAGAGTCGAGGTGTAAACACACATCCGTCCAGTAGGTGGCAGCACACACGGATCATATCGTCGAGTTTTTACAGTCTACCATAAAAACCAAAGAAGAAGAAGACGAAGGAAACATCGCGATACTTCAGTCTTCTCGTCCTGCGCTGTGTGGTTAGCTCAGCTAGCTTTCATCTACGCATGAGGATAAGGTAACGTAGGAGTTTAAATTCACGAATATATAAACTATATTAGATATAGATTATAAACTGCACTAGCTAACGGATAGCATTAGCTAATGACGTTAGTTTTCGATGTATGCTAAAGAAAGCTAGCATCGTTAGCTTAGCTGCTAGCACACAGAAGCTCTCGTTTCCTCTAAATATTAGTACACATGTTAACTTATGTAGTATAAGTTAACATATATTTATATATATTATATGTTAACTTATAGCTTATCAGTGGTGGAACGTTACTAATTTACTTAAGTGCTGTACTTCAGTTCACACTCGAGGTACTTGTACATTACTTGAGTACTTCCATATTCTACTACTCTTACATGTTATTAATAGTTAATTTCTGTTCATGTCCAGTGAGAACCACGTGTCTCCAGATGTGTCTCCAGATGTTTCCTCTGACTGATGAAGTGCTTCTTCTTCACGTGTTATTAAACTGATGAAGTGTTTCTTCTTCACGTGTTATTAAACTTCTGAAGTGTTTCTTCTTCACGTGTTATTAAACTTCCGAAGTTGTGTTCTCAGCAAACCTGAAGTTGATGAAATATCGTGACGAGGATCAGTTTGTGTCTTTTATCCTCCACGTGGTTTCTCCTCTATAGACCTGCTGCCAGCTCTGGTGCACACAGTACTACAGTACTACAGCACAGTACTACAGAACACAGCACTACAGTAATACAGCACACAGTACTACAGCACTACAGTAATACAGTACTACAGTAATACAGCACACAACACTACAGCACTACAGTAATACAGCACTACAGTACTACAGCACTACAGTACTACAGTAATAGAGCACACAGTACTACAGCACTACAGTAATACAGTACTACAGTAATACAGCACTACAGTAATACAGCACTACAGTAATACAGCACTACAGTACTACAGCACTACAGTAATACAGTACTACAGTAATAGAGCACACAGCACTACAGTACTACATCACTACAGTAATACAGTACTACAGCCTACTATAATCTTCTGTGACACATTTCTCATTTGAGTAGAAATATATTACGAATCATCTATTTGTGTGTGAGCTTTATGTTAGCTCTGTGATAGCTTTGTGTTAGCTCTGTGTTAGCTCTGTGATAGCTCTGTGTTAGCTCTGTGTTAGCTCTTTGTTAGCTGTGAACACAACATTAAAGTATAGTCTTTAAAAGCTTCGTCACAAAGCTGTCTTTGTCTAGAAATACGAGGTTCTCACTGGACGGAGACGCTACAAACATGATGATCTCAGAGAGGTTTGATGTACTTTTACTTCAGTAAAGGATCTACTTCTTCCACCAGTGTATAATATTGAGTGTATCTGGTTTGGTGCATTCATCCCCTTCTGTCATTGTAATTGGACTTTTTATGAATTCTTTAACATTTAAACCTTAAGAGAAATGATTTAATCTCTCTGACCCGCCGGCTCTCAAAGTTTCTCCTCTTTCAATGAGGATGTTTCCTCCGGTCTAAAGGTGGACTCTCACTCTTCACAGCCTCTTCTGTCTCCTTTCCTAGCCTCCTTATAATTGTCTTCTTATGTCCCAGTGATCCCAGCTCACTGCTGTTCAGCCGACTGTGAATGAATCCAAAGTCTGCTTTTTCGTTAGCGGTCCTCAGAGCTTCTGGTCTGGTGATCTGTGTTTCTTAGTGGAGGCCACGTTTCAGAGCGTCTCTACCTCCTTGTGTTTCAGCAGAAGATCCAGAGAAGAGGACGTTCAGGGATGCTAACGTTCAGACCCTTTTGAGCTTCTTTATCTTGACTCTTGTACTGAAAACGAGCCGGACGGCGGCGTCATGTCTCAGAAGTCGCAGTCAGACGGGGGTCAGAAGCACTTCGCCGTGGGCCGGGGGCTCCTGGCCGCCGCAGAGACCTTGAACTTCAGCATGAACGAGCAGCGATCCAGCCGGCTGATGGGGGGCGTGGCCTCAGGTGTGGGGGTGGGCGGCAGCATGGACAACCAGGACCCCCAGATGTCCCGGCGTGGTGGCGGTAGCCACATTGGCAACACCATGAAGCTGTTTGCCAGCTTGGGGTTGTCGCCATCCGACCTGGACGCTCTGGCCGAGATCCCAGAAGAGGACATCAGCGTGGAGACGCTGCCGCGCATTCTCATGCAGCTCAAGAGCCGCAAGGGGGATGCAGGAGAGCGGCGGGGGGGGGGGCACGTCCTCCATGTCCTCCGGCGGCGGGTACCGAGGAGGACGGGACTGGGACCACGTGGGGAGGATGGGCGGTCCTTCTTCTCTGGGTCCTGGTTCAGCCCGGGTCCAGACCTCTGCAGACTTTGGGTACAGTTCACTGCAGGACGGCGCTCCCAGCCGGGGCTACGGCTTGAACTACGGCGGCGGTGGTGGTGGGGGGGGCAGCAGAGACAGGCCGTACTCGGAGCTTTCCCACCATGACTCCTACGGGGGGCTCAACATGGGGCCGCCGACCTCCGACCCCGGCTTTAGTAGGAACAGGAGGATGGGCCCCCCGTCCAACGGGAAGATCCAAGACTTCTTGGGGGTCACGCCCCCCATGTTGCCCCACGTGTGCTCTCTTTGTGACTTTGATGTTCACTCCATCATGGTGAGTACCCACCAGCCTCCTCTCTTCTGGGACTAACTGTAGAAGGTTCAGTCTTCTGGTGGGAGTCCTCTGCCGTGTTTCCTACGAGCTCACAGCATGTCTTCACATTCTCTCACACTGATTCTACTGATATTCTAAAGTGACCCTGAACGTCACTTGTGCTCGTTATCTACTCGTCCTCCACCTAGATAAAGTATTCACGTTTGTTTAGGATGCATTTCTACACATGTGGAGGTCAGAGACATAGAAGTAATCCTGACCAATCAGCAGCTCATTGGATGTGGATCATTGAATCCCTTATTGAATCTTTTTAGGTAGTTTAGACCTCTTAACGAGTCGGACCTGTTTATTCTCTAGTTATCAAACCTGAACCACAGAGACTCAAAAGAAACATCTCACTGATGTCAAACATCTCACTGATCTCAGTACAGCTGTGATGGTTGTGCGCGATGCTCAGAGTGTCAATAACAACATGAGCTCTTTACATTATGAAATATCTGAACTTGCTGTTAACGACAGTCAGACACGTTCAGTCAGCAGTTTATTTTCTGTGGAGCCACAAAGAGTTTAAAGATGGATTCAATGAGGGATTCGTCGGCCACGGTGCTTCATGAATGTGATAATAATAGTAATCCTGGTCACATTTCAGGCATTAAAAGCAGCAGATTTCTATTCAATCTTTCTGAGTTTGAGGAAAGAGTTTTTGATGTTTGAGAGGACTGTTCCTTTAACAGGCAGACCGGTTAAGGTTCTGGTCAAGGTTCTGGTTAACTATGTGTTTGAACCCGTAGGAGTGGAACCAGCACACTAACGGACTACGACACGATGAGAACAGACGGCTGCTGCTCAACATGTGAGTCAGCGACACAGTTTGATGTCTCGGAGAAGCTTCTGGTGGACCTGTAGTGATGCTCTGTGTGGTTCTTTCAGGTATCCAGACTGGGACCCTGGAAGGACTTCAGGTAGAAGGTAAGAGACAGGAAACCACCTCCGGGTCTTTAGAGATCAGTGTACGTAGATAACAGTGTATAAATACAATAGGTAATATTACTGTGAGTACTCTAGTAGTTTAAACACATTCAGATATGGATATTGAAACATTAAAGAACTCATTTGTAGAACGCAGAGCTCACAGGTTCTTAGAGGAACGTCTGCTTTAGAACGTCCTGTTTCTAACTGTGTCTCTGTTCTAGTCTTCTGGACCCCCCAACATGTCTGCTTTAGAACGTCCTGTTTCTAACTGTGTCTCTGTTCTAGTGGGAGTCTTCTGGACCCCCCCAACATGTCTGCAGGGCTGCTGGGACCGGCCCCCATGTCTTCAGCTCAGACGGGAGGAGGGATGTCCTCCAGCTGGGGCAAGTCAGATTTATTATTAATATTGTTATTGTTATTATTGTTAATTGTAATTATTATGAGCACACTCATTATTATTATTAGTGTTAAATGTGTATCAGTTTTGTGTCCACAGGTTCTTTAGACTAACGGTGTGTGTGTGTGTGTGTCAGGAGGAGGTGGAGGAGGTCCTGGTCTGTCAGGAAAGAACCAGTCTGGACAGAATAAGGTCAGCTGGTCCTCCTGTGTCTTTAACTGGTCTGATGTATTTGTTATGTTTCTTCGGAGCTCAGTATTGATGAGTGATGAAGCTATTGTGTTACATCATGTTTATGATGTATTACATCTTATACATTGTGCGTTACATCATGTACGCTGTGCGTTACATCATGTACGCTGTGCGTTACATCATGTACGCGGTGCGTTACATCACATGCGTGGTGCGTTACATCATGTACGCGGTGCGTTACATCACATGCGCGGTGCGTCGCGTCACACGATGTCCCCTCTGTCCTCAGCTGAGGAGCAGAGTGGTGGTGGTGAAGTACGACAGGAAGCCTTTAAGCAACAAGACTTTGTTCTCCTTCACCGAGCCGTTCGGCCTCCTGACAGAACACCTGGTCCTGAAGAACCAGGTGAGTTAAACCCCCTCTCTGGTCTAGTCTGGCTCCATCCCGGTGTTCAGTGTGTTCTCACCCCCCCCCCCCCCCACACGATGTGTCTCCACCAGGCCTTCCTGGAGATGAGCAGCCACGAGGAGGCTGTGGACATGGTGACCTACTACGAGCAGCACCAGGCGGCTCTGTACGGGAAACCGGTCACTTTCTACCTGTCCAGGAGGCTGCTGGTCATCGAGGTACTGGAGCCTACAGGTGTGTCCTCAGGTTCACACCGTCCATCCGTACCTGAGACTCACCTGTCTGTGTGTCTGTCTCACCAACAGAAGGACGAGCAGGCCGCTGACAGGTCCGTGGACAGACCCGCCAGGGAGGTCAAAGGTCAAGGCAGCCAGGTGGTGTTCTTCTCCAACCTGCCCAGAGAGGAGGAGAAGAAAAAGGAGCTGCTGACCGTCGCTGGACGCTTCGGAGTCGTGGAGAAACACCTGTTCCTAACCGACCAGGTAGACCTGATCTTCATCACAGTCTTCATCAGTTCGAGACTCAACCACAGTCGATCTATCTCATCTATTGATCCAGTGTTTCCTCTACCATTATATTAGGGGGCGCCCCGCCCCCCCTTGAAGGTCGAGTTAACTTTGTTTAATTGTATTTTCTATGTAGCTTCAGATCACAACAGAAGTCATTAAGGTTCCTTTCCTATAGAACAGGTCTACACCATGTTCTTCAAACACACTAAACAGTCTTATCTACACGACAGCATCATTTCTGTCTCTACATGCTCGCGTTTACAATTCTCCTCTGCTCTCTGTATCGTGCACGGCGGAGTTCTGCCCCGACACACACACAGACACCCGTGCTGCACACACAGGTGAGCACACTCCAACCAGTGGACAGAGAGTGCATGACGGAAAATATGTGGCGTCAACCAGCTGAACAGCAGACAACAACATCTGGGTTTTAAACGCTCCCATGTGGTGAAGATGCAGCACTTGGGCTCTTGTCTGTACTTGGACCTACTCCGGCTGCTACTCGCACACACACACACACACCCCCCCCCCCCCCCCCCCCCCCCATCTATTGATCCATCTCATCTATTGATCCATCTCATCTATTAATCCATTGATCCATCTCATCTATTGATCTATTGATCCATCTCATCTATTGGTCTATTGATCCATCTCATCTATTGGTCTATTGATCAATCTCATCTATTGGTCTATTGATCCATCTCATCTATTGATCTATTGATCCATCTCATCTATTGGTCTATTGATCCGTCTCATCTATTGGTCTATTGATCC